TGACCGGGGTCAGAAAATACAGACTCATCTCTTAATAGTCTTCTTGTGCATTACATCTTTATTACATTTACTTGTGGTTCAAACTCTGAATGGCTTTTCAGTTTGACACTATTTGTGTCACTATTCATAAACATTTGCACAACCAAGATTTTGTATACAAAACTGTTGAAGGTATAATTTCCCAAAAGTTGGAAAGCGAAGCTCCCCCTTCAGGAAAATGAAACCTGATATGCCGTGTCCTGTAGGCCTGCCACATGGTGTTACAGGCCTACCCATCTTAATACCTTTTCAGTGCCCCACTCCGACTAGTGCTTCATACTCACCCCTGATATCAGTTTATTCTTTAAGGTTTCAAAAATACTTTTTTGTACAGAATCCCATATGCTTCATACTCACCCCTCCATGCACGCTCCACACTTTGAGAAATGCTTACTTAGGGAATGGTTATTGTGTCTCCTTTGGCCACATTTGCAAATGAACATGGGCACTGTGTGTGATCAAGAGTATTCGTTATTGTCATTCTCTAGTCATCATTTATCATTAAAAAGTTTGTCATCCAACCAGAAAGCAGAAGCAGCATTATGTGAATGAGGTGACCAATCACATGCCATAAATACATATAGCTGCAGTGAATAGTTTGTGAAAAACATGTAGGCTGAAAATTGTCCATCCAACTTACTCTGCAAGTACTTAGGAATAATGAATACATTACTTGCAAAAATCAGGACAGTTTCATGAACGATTTGCTTATGAATGGAAAAAAACTGGGCCAAATTCATTGGATAATTTATTTACAATGAATGATTCAACCAACTCTACATAGATATCTGCCAATACTGACATTATAGATTAAGTATCTTACCTAGATTTATCAATGCTGACTCCCCCAGAAGGCAGTCTGAACTCATCCTCAGAGACAGTTACATTTGCTTTATTAACACTCAGATTTTCTCTGATTAAAGATCATGAACAGTAGGCATCCTTTTTTCCATGATGTTTATATCTCCTGATCATATCCCTGATAGTTCTCTCAGATCTGTGACATCAAAGTCTTACTCTGACGAACACAGACATTGAAAAGGTGCATTTCAAAGACAGTAAGTGAATATTTTTACTTACTTGATGGCACCTTAGCGAGCTAGTAACAGCACAGCATCTATGGACGTGTCAAAGCTGCTCTTAATGAGGGTATACAAGACAGAAAATATGAGCAAAACTTTTAAACATCTCTCAGTAGGAGAATTCCAAGACAGATGTGCTGAAAACCCACTTACTACTATGGAGATAAATCTTTAAATTATTAAATAAGATTGTTTACAGGTCTTCTATTATGGACACTGCTAACAAAGTGGCTGGGAAAAGGTGCCCCCAGCCCCAAATATCAATGAATCAATCAGACCCTAAACATGATGGAAAAATGACGTGGCTCACTTAAATGGGAACAACCAAGAATACCAATGACTCATTGTTTTGCATAACATAGTTTTAAAGCAGGACAGTGACATGTTTTGGAGAAATAAGGCTCAACTGTTCATGTTTTGCTTTATCCCCAAATGTCCAGAAAAAGATTCTTAGGGTAAAATCCTGGCCCCATCGATGTCAACTGGAAAACTCATACTGACTTCAATAGGGCCAGGATTTCACTGCAGATTTTAAGGCCTGAAGGGACCATTATGACCACCTGCATGTCTGACTTTCTGAATAACATGGGCCACAGAATTTCACCAAGTAATTCTTGCATCAAGACCTCAACTTCTGGTTGAATTAGCACATATGATTTAGAAAGACACCCAAACTTGATTTAAATAATTTAAATGATGGAAAATCCATCACATCCCTATGTAAAAAAGGGAGAAGGGTTTTGCAGCGTGTCTGAAAGATTAACAAATATGGAGTTTTGTAGATCAAGGAGGAGTGAGGAAAGTGTACTGAAGAGTCAAGGGGTGTCCACAAAGAACCTGTTGCCTTTCACTACCCTCTGGATCTTTCCAAATAATATAACTAGGAGGGAATTCACTCTAAGATAGTTCTAATCACAGGGATAGATGATATCTTCCCTTCTTTTCATTATCTCCATGAGACCACTGGAAAAGATGGTGAGATGTCTTGGCTCAGTTGTCAACAATATGCTGATGCAACTCAGCTACAGATCTCATTCATCATAAATGTAACTGCTGCCACTACTAAGATGTCAGAATGCTTATAGATTAAGAGCTGCTCGCTCAAGCTGAACCCAGACAAGTCTAAAGCGATCATGACTAGAAAGAGAAAATGCTTTGAAGAACTAGATGAAACACATACAGCCCTCATTTGTCAATTATGTGAAACCTCAGGGTGCTTTCTGACTCCTCACTAAACTTAGGTGACCAAGTAGCATCAGCACTTAAAAATGCATTTTTTTTACTCCAGCTTGCTAGGAAACTTTGCCCCTTCTTCACAGAGAAGTGCTTGGCCATACTGAGCCATGCATTTGTCACCCCCAGGCTGGATTGCTGTAATCCTCTGTATCTGAAGCTGAACATGAAAAAGACAATGCACAGGCTTCAGCTGATACAGAATGAGGCTGCCTGTCATGGAGCAGCCCCACCTGGAAGCACCCTCCGCCAGTAGGCTGCAGCATGTCAGGTGCACCTGCCTCAGTTTCCCTCCTGACCCCCCAGAAATAGTCCAGCAAGTCCTTCTTGAAAATGGTCCTTGTGGGATTAATTTATTACAGAAGAAAGCCCCATACACACCAAGACCCAACACCATAATCCATGCAAGTACAGCTCCTGCATCCCTCACCACATGCTGGCTCTCTAGCAGAGCTCTCTCTAGCCCTCTGGTTTCAGCTCTACAGCTCCAAGAGCCAATAGGCAGCTTCTGCTGCTGCTCTCATCCTTCAACCTTCTCTAACCTTGGTTCCGGAAGATCAGCAAACTATCCCCTCCACTGTCTTCCTGATAATTCGTCCCTCTTTCCAGGGAACAGAAAAGCTCTCTCAACCTTTCCCCAGAGCCAGGCCCCACTCTCTTATCTTTTCCTAACTGACTCTTACCAAGGCTCTATCTCAGTGAATCTTTCCTGACCCTGTATTTTATAGCACCCTGGTGCTACCCTACCCTCTTAATTAGCCAATCCAGGAGTACCATTTTTGACAGTGGGGCACTGGACCTGCTTCATTTACAAGGGCCAGCCATCCTGTGCTGCTACTCACCTCCTCCATGATCTAGGCCACATTAGACCTATCTTCAAGTCCTACTTCTTTCCAGTTAGCTTCAGATGCACATTTAAGGCGTTGCTCCTAATCTTCAAGGCAATTACTGGCTCAAGCCCCAGCTATGCAGTGGGTGCAAAAGATGGATTTCCTCATATAATAATCACAGCTCTGCCTCTGTCACACACTTCAAAGCAGAGGCTATGTGTGGGGTGGGCATGTGGGGTCATGTCTGCCCTCCTCCCCCTGATTTCTGCTTTCTATTAAGCATCCACCAGCAATGGGGGGCTTGCAAGGTGGAGCCATCGCAGTCCAGTGGACTCAGCAGGAGCAGCTGAGTCCCAGGGCTCTCCAGGGAGGGACCATCCAGATGGGCAGCACACTGGGACTGGGCAGGGCCATAGGAGTAGGCAGTGGTAGCAGGTGGGGCAGGGCTGTTCCTGGTGTCCAGCAGCGGGGAGCTGGGTTGGGGGTGGGGGTGGGAACCAGCAGATCCATCCCCACCTT